GCTTCCGCTTATCCTTTTCAGGGTCGCGGGGGGCGCTGGAGCCTATCCCAGCTGTCATACGGCGAGAGGCAGGGTACACCTTGACAGCTCGCCAGTCTGTCACACAGAGAGACAGGCAACCATTCGCACTCACATTCACATTCACTCCTGTATTCACATCTATGGGCAATTTAGATTAATCAATTAACCTTTCCCCAGAAACTGCATGTCTTTGGACGGTGGGAGGAAGCTGGAGTACCCGGAGGGAACCCACGCAAACAGGGGAGAACATGCAAACTCCACACATTGAACTCAGGACCTTCTTGCTGTGCGGCAACAGTGCTAACCACCGTGCCGCCCAGAATCTGAATATATTATGCAGCAAAACGTACACGTATGTATCATGCATTTGCAATATTAACTTAACCTCTTGCACTGTGGACTGTTCCCTTCTGCAATCTAGACTCTACGCCATTCACTAAAATCACTTTAAACATAGGTACACTGACACACTGCACTACTTTTATGGGTTGATGTGTTCAATACACGTGTACTTTGTATGTTGTGCTGTATTGTGTCATTTGATGTGTCTTGTTGTATATGCAGCTGTGTTGTTGAAATGGCTCCAATAAACTTGAGCTGTGGTGACTGTGAAGGCCACTCAGTCACCACATAACATGATCAAAATCATTTTCATGCTCATCTAAAAGTTCTATCAGCTCTTGCACCTCATTGCCACCATGGAAGAGATCATTCCTAGCATGAAAGGAATACTATATTATAGGATGATGAGAAATACTGGGAACAGCTGTGTTGATCTGCAGGTTGGACATTCCTGCTCAGGAGACAAACTCTGTACCCAACAGCATGACAGGGCCTCTCAGTTGTCTAATTTAAATGCCTCTTCTCTAACAATACGCCTGTTCAGTCAATAAACTATCACATCCATCAGCTGGACAGGTTATAACAGCCCTATAGATGCTAAGGACCAATTATCGCCATTGGAATGCCTTCGCTGTGTTCCGTACGTCAGTAATTTTAATGTCAGTGGCTGTAAAGTTATAATAGCCGCGCTCAAGTCTCGTATGGAATAACACAAAAATATTAACACTGCAGTGATGTGTTGACAGCTGTCATCCTTCAGATGTTAATACGCGAGCTAGTTAGCAACATAAGCTAGCTGCTTCCTAAAAGGGGAAAGCTAAACTCCGCGAAACACTGACGACTAAATAGGACTTTGGCTCTTCGTCGTCATTTTTTACAACCTTGAGTTGTTCAAAATATACCCCTCAGTGACAACAAACTCCCTGAAATACGGGACAAATACAGCAAAACTGTTCATCCTACCTGTGCTTCGGTGACCCAGGATGAATGACGACGACTATGGGCGGTGTCGCTGTGAAGTTTGTCCGATGTTAAACCAAACAAATAATTTAACTTAAATCATATAGCTTGTAGAATTTTGTGAAATAAACAAAAATAGACGTGACATTAATCGAGTCCATTTCACAGGACAAACACGTTCTTTTGAAATATATGCCAAATGCAGCGGAACTGTAGACTTTGTGTGTACCTTGCAGCTACTCGGAACGTTTTTGCAAAGGAACAGAACACCACAGAAGAAAATACAAACGCACAAACCGAAGTTGTTGTTTTTTTTGCTGTTTTTCTCTGTTTTTTCTCTCTTTAGTTTGTGCAGAATGTCAGATGAAGAAGAAGACTATATGTCTGATGCATTTCTTAGCAAACTGTAAGTGTTTTGGCTCTGGTGTTTACTGTAAAATGTTCATATTGACAACAATGTTCGGTCAGTGCCATGAAACTGTTGTTGAATCGAGTATATTCCGATATTGAGCTATAAAAACAAAGAAGCAGGGTGTCGTTGCTCTCAGAATAGTTATCGGTATTTTTTACACCCGTGTAACGTTTTTCTTTGTCCCTCCGACTGTCAGTCAAGATGTGAAACCGGGAGTCAGCATGGTGAGGCGGGTAAAAGAAGCAATGAAGAGGGAGGAGAAGCAAAAGGAAAAGAATATTAAGAACCGTCAGAAGAGCTACAAGGAGCAGGAGAGCGAAAGCCGAGAAGTGGCTTTACAGAGCTCCATCAGCAATGAAAACAAAGGGTTTGCACTTCTGCAGAAAATGGGCTACAAAGCTGGGCAAGGACTTGGGAAGCAGGGCAAGTTTGTTCTTCGCTAAATTGTGAATTTGCTTTGCATTTGTAGTGTGCACTGATGTTAATCTTTGTTACCCCTATAGGAGCAGGAAGAGTTGATCCAATCCCACTAAATATCAAAACAGGTAGGAAATGTTATTTTAAAATGAGTATTTAGTGATGTTGTGTGCAGCCTAGCTGAATGATTGCAGCACTTTTCTGTTTATAATCAGACAGAGGGGGTATTGGAATGGAAGAGATGAAGAAAAGAAAAGCTGAAGAGGAACTGGAGCATTATAGGCAGAAAGTACGAGCCAAACAACAGAATGAGACCAAATCTCTGGAAGATTTCAGGTGAAGCATGCAGCTACCTCTAAACGTTGTCCCCTCCCCCTCTTATAGTCTGTGTTTTTAACTTTTTCCTTTTTTTGCGTTTTCAGGTCAAGAGTAAGGACGGAAAGAGAGGAGCGAAAGATTGAAGGAGACCTCAGGAGGAGTCAGCGAGCTTGCGAACAGCTTGACAGTCAAAAGGTGGAAAGAATTATGAGTATAGCTCCTTATGGACTCCTCTGCACATCACAGTGCTAGTGTTAGTAGCAGGTCTCTCTCTAATCAGTCTCTTACCAGTGAAAGGAGGAAAATTATAGACCACTGACACAAAGTATCTCCTAGCTGAGGTTTCTTCTCTTTTCAGGGGATAACTGCTCCGAGAGAAGACTGGTACTGGCCTAAAGCAAACTCTGATGAAGAAGAGGACGATCTTAAAGAGGAGGATGAGGATGAAGAGGAGGTTACAGAACTCACTGTAAGTATTTTATTTTAGACAATCAAAATTAATGTATGTTATTCATAGTTGGGGTTTTTTGTTGTTGTTTTTTTACCAAAACAGCAATTGTGGTACTGTCTGAGGAAGTGCAGAGCAGTATGTGTAGGACATGTATTAGGATAGCAAGATGATGTTGAGGTGTACAGTGGGAGTGACAGATTTGTTCAAGATGGGGGTGGGATTACATTAGGGATTGGCTCTGAGCCCCCTCTTGTTTGCAATGTGATGGGCAGATGATGTCAGACAGGAGTCTCTGTGGCCTATGATATTTGCAGATGACATTGAAATTTGTAGTAGAGAGCAGGTAGAAAAGCCTGGAGAGGTGAATGTCTCTCAAGAGAAATGAAAGACAGTGGATGCAAGACAGAATACATGTGTGTGAATGAGAGGGAGATGGGTGAAAATGCAAGGAGTAGCTTTAGTGAAGATGGATGAGTTTAAACCATCAAAATCACCAGACAGTGCACAACAGAGGTGAAGAAGAGAGCATAGAGTGCATTGGATGGAAATCAGTGCTGAAGTGTGTTTTCTAACAGAAGGATAGCAGCAAGAGTAAATGAAAAGATGGTAGAAAGACCTGCTATGATGTGTTGAATTAATGAAAAGAAATATTTTCAATTAAATTTTCATATCTAATACTCATATACTCTGGATTAGAAATGAGTACATCAGAGGGACAACTCAGGTTGAGCTGAAAAAACATAAATGCATCTTATAGGATTTAATGGCAAAATTATCCCAATGAATATTAAATGTGATATGTGGTTCTCTGTTGCAGTCTTTTGATAAACTACAAATTTTGACATCCTATTTGAGAGGAGTCCATTTTTATTGCATATGGTGTGGGACCACCTATAATGGTAGGTGTGATGTCTTGTCTTTAGTGCTGTAGCTTTTAAGGTTCTTTTGTATTGCCATTGCTCATACTGTGTATGTGTATATAATGTATTGATTTCTATTTTACAGATGAAGAGGACTTGTGCGCTAACTGTCCTGGGGATACAGCAGCAGACCATGAATAAAATGAATGAAAACCAGTCTGCACAAGTTTCCTGTAAAGAGAAAAAAAAAGTATAAATGTTTGATCATAAAAATATTGTGTATATGTGAATGCACTTTGATATGTGAGTCAGGTTCATCGGACTACAAAAACAGCCAAGGCAATAAAGTGATCAGAAATTAAGTTCTTTAATCATCCAGTTTTAATCTGCTGTCTTTCATTGAAAGACCATCAAGTTTGTATTTGTTGTATACATTTCTGTTTTTTGGGTTGTTGTTGTTGTTTTTTTTCATTTATAAATTAGGATGTCTTTCAATATTTCTATTTTATAAAGATGAATACAAATTGTGTTACATATTTCAAGATCAATTGTATTTATCTGTCTTCATTAAACGTTTTAAGAATGCTACCATTTTGACTTTTTGTATATTCTATGATTTGTTGTGAGTTTATATCAGCCATACTTCTTTTCATTACTATTACTTTAAAAAATTCTGATGCGTAAATTGGGCAATAATAATAATAATTTACATGTCTGAAATATTTAAGGATTTTTGGTTTATATGTTATTGTCACTATGACATCGCCACATCTCTACGTTTGGCGCTTGACAAAAGAACTACAGTTCCCATGAAACTTAGCGATGGGAGCTGCTCTTAAACATCTTGGGACATGTAGTCATTCAATCCTAACATGCGTAAGTTTAAAAAAACACGAACAGGTAATCATATATTACTGACGTTAAAATTCCGAGCTTTAACATTAGTTAAACTACAAAAAACAATCTAAAACAACTATTGATAAAGCAAACAGCTATTCTCCCAAAACAGCATCGTTGCTACTCAGTTTTCCTGTACTATAACTCACACTTTCTCTGTTGTTATACTTTATTTTGATATCTTCCACCCAACTCTGCTAGTTTCAGCGTACAGCTTCAAACCATTTCTTTTTTTATAAAACTTTACTGAACAAAACGTGGTTGATATGTCGGACATTACTTGAAAGCACCATGTGACGTTTACGGACAAAACGAAACCTAAACTGACATGGAAAGGAAAAACGGAAACCATGTTTTATTTTGAGATTTGTACTTTGCTCTCTATTTTTATGAATTTTGTGTAAATATTCCGACTCCCGACAAACTTAGGATGGAAAACTACATAGCTAAGTTAAACGAGTATGCACAGAAACAGCGGCTGGCGCTCCAGTTTGTGGAGGTTGGAGCTGCTGGCCCTGACCACATTAAAACGTAAGTTGAACATAGATGGGATCTGCGACCTGGGATGTCGTACGAGTACGTGTGTATTTTTGTAGGATAGACTCTTCAGTGAAACCGTAGTAGGCTGTATTTTCGCTCACTCGCTACCAAATGCACGTTTGTGTACAGTAAATGTATTTTGTACGTCGCTTTAGTCCATTTACTAAATGTCCACAGGTATGTTGATCCTGCAGTATCTTGCTAGTGTGTTGTTTCCACACTTAAACTTTGTCACTCTGCACGCAATTGTAATATTTTGTTACAATTCTTTGTTTACCTCCTACCGTACAAATAAAACATTCCAACCATATGTTAAAAACAGAATATTTTTGAGCAGCAAGTTCTGTGGTCCTGAGTACTTTTTTGCCACGTGTATATAAAGATACAGTAACAGTGTTCCAATTTTTAAAGCTTAAATTGGCCTCCAGTTGTAGAATGGCATATTTAATATTTTGTGTGGGGAAAGTACACTAGGAGTTTACTGTATTTGTCTGTTCAACAGATTTACTATCAGAGTTGTTCTGAATGGTAAAGCCTATCCTGACGCTGTTGGAAAGAACAAGAAGGAAGCCAAGCAGAACGCTGCTAAAAATGCATTGGCAGGCTTGTTGGAGGAATCAGCTGATACTGTAAGATCATTGCACCATTGTATTCACTCACTGTATGTGTGGACATTTGTTTTAATCTGCTGTGTGTTTGTTGGTTACAAACAGACAGAAAATGCTGCAGAAGTTTCTAATACATCAGTTCATCAGAGAAGTGGCAGTAACATCAAGTACACCTGCTGGCTTAATGAGTATGGTCAAAGGAACAGGGTGATTGTAAGGCCCGTGGAGGCTGCCAGACCTGGACCAGATGATGAAAATCAGTAAGTCTACATGATGCATCTAGTTTTGATTGTAGATGTGAATAATCTATTTGAAATCTATTTAATATTTTTCTTTTAATGTTAGATGGTGTAACTTTTTTGTTGGTGACAAGGAGTACCCGGCAGCTTCCGGGAAAACAAGAAGGGAAGCCAAGGAGGAAGCAGCCAAGCTTGTATATCACGATATATGTGGCACTTTAGAGGTAACTAATGGAATATACTGATTGACTTGACATCAAAGAAAACTGGATAAATGGTTTAAATATTTTCATGCATGTTCTAGTAGCATGTTGTTCACTTGTACTTTATATTCCAGACTGGAGATGAGAAAGACATTTTCACATCAAGTCAGCAAAAGGAGGAAACAAAACAAAATGTTGCAGATGTCTGGTGAGTTGAAACAGTGTTTCTTTTTGATGCTTTATCCCTGTGAAGCCTTTTTGTAAACTATGTATTGTTTAAAGTGGTTGAAGTTTCAGTTTTTATGTATTTTTTCTTTGATATTGTAGCCTTCAGATAAAGAGTTTGGCTGTGAAACCTGAAGATAAAAGGTTTACAGAGGTAAATTTCATAGGTCTTGTCAACCACTACTGTCAGAAAACATCCCGCTCCCACACGTTTATTGAAGAGGATATATGTGGACCGCCTCATAATCGACAGTGAGTGTGACCGTCCCCTTACCAGCCATTATAGACAATTTCTGCTAAATGCTGGCTGATGTTTAACAGTTGGTAAATGATGTAAACCAGTTTTTCACTGTTTCACAACAGATTTTCCTACAAATTAGTCATAGATGGCAAGGAATACCCTGTTGGTGAGGGTAACAGCATCAAGGAAGCCAAACAAAATGCAGCTCGATTAGCCTGGTCTGCTCTTCAGGAACAGTCAGACTGGGACAGCAAGGTATTTAACATTTTCTGTTAAGTTAAGAGTACTTTATTGTCTGCCGTAGGGGGAAATCATCCTGGATCGGCCAGCTCCTGCATTGAAACCCCTCCCACACACACATAGTAATAAAAATCAAAGCATAAACCCTAGTTGGGCACACTTTTATAAATACAGACCTTAGAATGCATAAATAATTAAATAAATAGTTGAAGTAGTAGTAGAGTTGTCCTTCAGTCATGAGCTGTTCATTTATCAGTTTAACTGACAAAGGGACAATTGAATATTTGTAGCAGTTATACTGACACAAAGGGAAGTTGTACCTCCTAATAAAATATTGTGGCCTATCGAACCGTAAAAAAATATCTTGGGGAATGTTTATGTTCCTATAATTTTTCCTGCTTTCCTGATTGTTAGATTTCCAAACCTGCTGTCATAGCCTAAGAGACTCTGCAGTAGACAACTGATATAATACCAAAACTAAAAACTCTAAGTCTCCGGAGAAAATGAAGACACTGATAGATTCTCATACACACATGAATGTCCTATGGGTTCTTTTGATATTAAATACACTGAAGAAAAATATAAATGCAACACTTTTGTTTTTGCTCCCATTTTTCATGAGCTGAACTTAAAGATCTGAAACATTTTCTACATACCCAAAGGACCCATTACTATCAAATATTGTTCACAAATCTGTCGAAATCTGTGTTGGTGAGAACTTCTCCTTTGCCACAGGTGTGGCAAAGTTTGTATGTAGAAAATGTTTCAGATTTTTAAGATCAGCTCATGAAAAATGGGAGCAAAAACAAAAGTGTTGCATTTATATTTTTCTTCAGTGTATTTTGCCAATTTAATAGATTGTTGATGTTGGTATTTCCACTATGCACACTATGGTACCACCCCAGGCTCACACTGTCCCCAAAGAATAGTGGGACCCTAGCCTGGTATTTTAGATGCTGCATACACTATTTACATCATTTTATTGCACACTTGAGTTTGAGTTCCCCTAGAAACAAAATTCAGGCGTCCATCTCTGTGTATGTTCACCTAATCCTTTTTGCATGTAATGGTTGAGTAAGCTCTTGGCCTCATCGTAACTTTTTATTATGGAGCACTCTGTCCTATTTGCATATTAAAGTGTTTTCCTCAGATAATTCTTGTAGTATTCTGCCTATTTTGGAGATTTTTCATCAGTCAGATTTTGATGGCCTTACTCGAATAACTAAATCAGAATTTCTTCTGTATGATCATGCAGACTATAATGAGAAGGGTTGTGTTTAACAGCGCCACAACCTCCTTTGTGTTTTCAGATAACTATCAAGTCAGCTGTGTCAGATGATAGAGCACCGTCCAAACTGTCCACACCACCAAGCACACTGTAAGGCTGAGCACTACTGTAGATGGTAACATGTAATGTTGAAAATACCTATTAATTAGGCATTTTATTTGTCTCAAAGGGACTCTGGTTGTCCAAAATCAAGTAGCAGTACAACAACTACAAATGACTCAGTTGTTTTCTCCCAGTCATCTAACGCTTCCAAGGAGCAGGTTGGTTATATCCCATTCTTTCATCCACTCCTGCCATGGTTCACCAGTTTGTAATGTTGAGGCTGTTGCAGAAGTTTTTTTTAAATTACTGGATTAAATAAAATCAGTTTAAATGTCCGTTCTTGTTCTAAGATCATCGATCTAAAACACGGTGGTTCTTCAAGTCACAAAGGAGTAGAAATAAATCAGAATCATGACGACAACTGGTGAGGACAAACAGTTGCAACAAATAGTTTCAGTTTCAATGTTTGGATTCTCTTTTGTTGGTAAAGTTCTGAATATGTGGCTTGTCTTTATAGTTCTAAGACAAAGAGCTTGATGGTAAAGAAAGAAGCTGAAATCTTTACAGAAGAGAATTTCATAGGACTCATCAATCTCTACTGTCAGAAAACAAAGCATTGCCATGATTACGTCCTAGTGAGCAAATGCGGTCCACCACATAATCCTCAGTGAGTATGACTTAACCTTTTTAACTAAATACACCTTATATAGACTAAATCTATATGTGTGTATATATAAAGCTATTTGTATGGCACAAAACTCTTAAACCTGTTGCTGCTGATATTGTCTCCCTACACAGATTCTTCTACAAAGTAGTCATTGACAACAAGGAATATCCTGTGGGTGAGGGTAAGACTATCAAAGAGGCCAAACAAAATGCTGCTCGGCAGGCGTGGTCTGCTCTTCAGGAACAATCAAATTGGGATAGTAAGGTACTTAATGATCTTTACTTAATGATTTTTGTTTTTATCCACAACCTTGAAATCTTCCATATTCCTCATCCAACACACTCTAGCTTTTTAATTCCTTACTATAAAGGCGGTAAAAGGGTTGCACTACTAAACTTTTCTCAGCATCATTCAACAGAGATGCTTGTGAGAAAGCAAATGTCACACATTTCATTTATCTACCTGCTCCCTACTTGCTGTGTACACATGATGTGTGATGTCAGATTGCATTCACTTCTAATGAGTGGGCATCATTCTTACTGCTTCAAACCCACTTATGCGGGAAGCTCGACTAAACCAAACTATATTTCCAATAGTGCAAACTAGTCTGAGGCGAATTATTTCCTGCTAGTTGTAAGGTCATAAAAGAGAGGACAGCCAAGTATTTAGTATTGTCCTTTCTCGCTAAGCTGCCTGAACTTCGTGTGTTAAAACAGCTTGAAAAGTGTAAGCTCAGTGTTACAGACAGGGAAGCACAATTTAGGTAAAGGAACAATACTTCATAATCATAATTTTTATAAGTGTCCAAATATTGCTGTATCTCAAAGATTGGATGATGCAGAAATATGTTCCTAACAAAATCATCAGGTATTATTGTACTTATTGAACTTTTTCTTTTTTTAAAAAAAGCATGTGTTTCTAAAGCATACGACCAGATTTGCTAAATAGAGCAAACTAGTGTGTGAGAGCAAACCCCAAATAGAGCTCATAGATGTGGTTAGTTTTAAAATCACGGTTGTTTTCTAAACGTAGGTGCAGTAAGTTAATTTCAAAATCGAGCCCAAAAAAAAAAGGCATGCTTTTTTTGTCTTTTCTTTTTTTAGCGTTATTGGTACAGTTATCAGTAAATGGCATTTGAAAACATTAGTAAATAAGTGTATGTGCTTGATTTAAATATTTTCTTCTCTATGTTTTGCGCTTTGAGAACAGACCTCACAGATTTACATATGCAACCAAAAACAGTCGCAAAAAGCAGACATGCTAAGAGGTTAAATGTGAAAAATATCCAAAAAACACCTGATGTGGGTTCCAGGATGCTAACATGCTTTTGAAGCCACTGCTGTACTTTACAGAAACCATACAGAAAGTGATTATTGGTGAATATTTTATGTTGTATATTAACCTCCTGGGACCTGGCATCCACATATGTGGACATCACATTTTGAGTTGTCTAGACCAAAATACAAAATTTTGCTCTACAAGGGCCTGATTTCCACTTACGAGGACATTATACTGCCACTGTTCTATCGAAATTTAAAGCGAATGTCCTCATATGTGGCTCTAAAAATCAGAAAAAAAATCATGTAATTCTTTGTTTTTGCATTTCCCAATCAGCCCAAATAGCAAGGAGAAATTAAAAATGCATGCCATGAAAGAGTTCAGGTGTTAGGAGGTTTAAATTATAGCTAAAACTAATGTTTTCAAAAACATTTAGAATTTTTCTGACAGTCTCATTTTAAACGTACATGTATGTGGTTAACCAATGGTTAATTTTGCAGCAACCAGATGGACAAATAGTAAGGGCGTGTCGTGCATGTTAATAAATATCCCCTGCACTTACCAACAATCATATTATTTTACATTAAAGTGTCCTACTACCAAACGGTGTCTTAGTGTACAGCTGAACATTTTTTTGTTTCTTTCAGCTGGTTTCTTGGTCAGCTGTGTCAGATGATGTTACACCAGTCCAGCTGTCCAGCCCAGCGAGCACACTGTAAGGCAATGGAATGAGCAAGCACACCTAATACTTAAGTTTAATGTGGAGAAAACTGCATGAATGTATCTTGCTGTATTTTCAAAGGATCCCACATGATGCAAAATCAGAAAGAATACCAATGACTTCAAGTGACCCAGTTGTTTCCCCAAAGGTTCAGAGACCTTCCAAGGAACAGGTTTGTTATCCTCTGTGTCTTCTATATCTTTTGTTGTCATGTCCTTTGATACTAACACGGTTATATTAGGATGCTTTTAATTATTTAGCTCCAGTTCTACACTCCTAATTAGTAGTTCTCATAATTGCAATAACAACTTTTCAATAATAATGGGTGATGTATCTATAGTAATATCAAGGTATGAAAATAGTTATTTATTAAAAAATGTGATCAAGCAAACACTACATATTGGTGATCATGATCTATTAAAATGTGACAAATGCATTTGACAGTCTTCATAAATTAAATAAATGAAAAACTGATCTGTTTTTTTTCTCAGTGAAGGTTATTATAGTCAGCTTAAACTAAAATTAGATGTGAAAAAACTGAAATAAAAAATTAAAACTAGACTTTTTTTTTTAAAGTGAAGTGAAATGATTTTGCACAGTTAGGGAAATAAAAAGCTAAACTAAAATACAAATATAGAGGAAATATCTTTAGTTTTAGTATTTAGTTTGTTTAATTCAATCTGCCTGATGAGTCACTGGTGTACATGTTTATTGAGACCCTATATGTCTACAACACTGTGAGTCAACTGCTTTCTTTTTTTCTTGCAATACCTGCACTGATTTTCCTAAATCTTGCCTCTGACATATCCCCTTGATGCAATAATAATTAAAAAGAGTAAAACAAGAACATTCACTTTGGATACTAACTGAAACTAAAGTGAATTAAAAACAAAGTCAGAATAAAATAAAAATTAAAAACTAACAAGAAAAAAAACCCCTCACTAATAACTCCGGTCTCAACGAATGCATCTTAGATTTTGTATGTGTCAATTTCATTCATCGCTTTCTTTTTTGCTGTTCCTGTTTTTGTTTTGTTTTTTTGTTTTTGTTTGTTTGTTTTTTAACATAAAACTCACAGTTGTATAAATAAGTAAAATTAGAAACAGAAGTTCAAGAAAAAATGCCAATGATAGGATTTGCCTTGGGAAGGTAAACCCATGTTGTTTAAACCTCTGAATCCTACAGTCTGATATTCTTTTCTAATTAAAATATAAATGTGGTAAAATCTGTATCACTGCAATACTGGCCAATGATTTTGCACACTGCAGATTTTCCTCACATCAAGCAGGTGGATAATTATGCAAATCTCCTATGAGTAATTTTTACTAAAGGGGATAATATTAGCTAGAAACGGGCTTAACTTTTTCCAAGAATTTGAAAAATAACTGACAATATTATTTTTTCTTGTGATGTTGTTCAAGTATATAATTTTTATCTGTAGGAACTAATCCAACAAGGCTCAACTATGTACTTGTACAAATGAAGGAAAAGTTTCCTTGGGATGATGTATGTGGAAAACATACATAAATATATACATTCTATACAGACAAGAAGTTAGCTAAGGCTCTGGGCAGAATTGAGTGTGTATTTGTAAAATAGCACCTTACAAACTCTTACAAACTTTCAATACCTGATGATTGACATCAGTGTTTCAAACTACTATTAATAATACCATTTAATAACTAAGTTTGTCTTGTTTGTAACAAATGTTTTGCATCTAATTTAGCCTTATTTCCCCCTTTATTTCTCCCTTTTTAAGGATCAAAATCCTGATTTAAAACCAAAAATAAGGTAAGTCATACTTTGAAACCTGTTGTAAACATCGTTGTGTAATATTTCATCTGACATTATTGCTGATGATGATTTTCCTGGTTAGAATTGCAGCAAATTTCGGTAATGTTTCCAGACACAAAAAAAAGGTATGAAGGACTCACAGAAATTCTGAGTGTTTTCAGTTTTTTGTTTAATACTGGAATTTCAATATGCTGACTTTGCATTGTTTTTAAGGATTTGCACAACTCTGATCTCAAAGAAAAGAGTAAAGAAAGAGGTTCCACCGAGAAAACATCAAGTCAAGTAGTACAATCGAGGTATTAAAAAAACAAACAACACTACAATGTACTGCTATCATGTTTTTACTACAGTTTATAGTTAAAGGAGAATTTTCTCTTTGTTAGCATTTGTCATTAATAGTAACACCTATGTTAATCTCTACAGGTTTACACTGGAATTCGACTCTATAGAGCGCCTTGGTAAAGGAGCCTTTGGTCGTGTTTATAAGGCAAAACATAAACTGCTGAATAAATATTATGCTATTAAAATTGTTCGCTGCAAAGAGTAAGTAAATATTTAATATAAATATTTAATTTTGTTTAAGTTTATGAAAAAGGTGAATTGCCACTAGCTCTGTACAGGAGATTTGAGAGAGATCTCTTCAGTCTTTCCAAAGCCTCCAATATCTTATGCCTAACAATCTTAGCACACTAGTAGTATACAAGAGTATACAGTAAGGCGGGTGGCAAATTTACTGTCAACTGTTTGGGGATATTTTGCATCTTTTGTTTTTCGGTGTACAAATACATTTACAGTGGGGCAAAAAAGTATTTAGTCAGCCACCGATTGTGCAAGTTCCCTCACTTAAAATGATGACAGAGGTCAGTAATTTGCACCAGAGGTACACTTCAACTGTGAGAGACAGAATGTGAAAAAAAATCCATGAATTCACATGGTAGGATTTGTAAAGAATTTATTCGTAAATCAGGGTGGAAAATAAGTATTTGGTCACCTCAAACAAGGAAAATCTCTGGCTCTCACAGACCTGTAACGTCTTCTGTAAGACGCTTTTCTGTCCCCCACTCGTTACCTGTATGAATGGCACCTGTTTGAACTCATCATCTGTATAAAAGACACCTGTCCACAGCCTCAAACAGTCAGACTCCAAACTCTGCCATGGCCAAGACCAAAGAGCTTTCGAAGGACACCAGGAAAAGTATTGTAGACCTGCACCAGACTGGGAAGAGTGAATCTACAATAGGCAAGCAGCTTGGTGTGAAAAAATCAACTGTGGGAGCAATCATCAGAAAATGGAAGACATACAAGACCACTGATAATCTCCCTCGATCTGGGGCTCCACGCAAGATCTCATCCCGTGGGGTCAAAATGATCATGAGAACGGTGAGCAAAGATCCCAGAACCACACGGGGGGACCTGGTGAATGACCTGCAGAGAGCTGGGACCAAAGTAACAAAGGTCACCATCAGTAACACACTACAACGGCAGGGAATCAAATCCCGCAGTGCCAGACGTGTTCCGCTGCTGAAGCCAGTGCATGTCCAGGCCCGTCTGAAGTTTGCCAGAGAGCACATGGATGATACAGCAGAGGATTGGGAGAATGTCATAAGGACAGAATGAATGGGGCCATGTATCGTGAGATTTTGAGCCAAAACCTCCTTCCATCAGTGAGAACTTTGAAGATGAAACGAGGCTGGGTCTTCCAACATGACAATGATCCAAAACACACCGCCCGGGCAACAAAGGAGTGGCTCCGTAAGAAGCATTTGAAAGTCCTGGAGTGGCCTAGCCAGTCTCCAGACCTCAACCCCATAGAAAATCTGTGGCGGGAGTTGAAAGTCCGTGTTGCTCGGCGACAGCCCCATAACATCACTGCTCTCGAGAAGATCTGCATGGAGGAATGGGCCAAAATACCAGCTACTGTGTGTGCAAACCTGGTAAAGACCTATAGTAAACGTTTGACCTCTGTTATTGCCAACAAAGGTTATGTTACAAAGTATTGAGTTGTATTTTTGTTATTGACCAAATACTTATTTTCCACCCTGATTTACGAATAAATTCTTTACAAATCCTACCATGTGGATTCATGGATTTTTTTTTCACATTCTGTCTCTCACAGTTGAAGTGTACCTCTGGTGCAAATTACTGACCTCTGTCATCATTTTAAGTGGGGGAACTTGCACAATCGGTGGCTGACTAAATACTTTTTTGCCCCACTGTAGGTTTTTGATGTTTTGTTTTTACTTAACATCCATCTGCAGCCTTCATTTTAGCATCAGTAAATGAATTAAGGTGCCAAACTTCTCATCACATTACTGTTTTACACGACTTTGTGCTACTGTCCGCTAATGCTAATGTACCTTTTTTTTTTTAGCATTTGGAAACATTTTTGATAGAAATAGTGGAGAGAGGGAATAATACAACGAGAGAGTAACGCAGCAAATGATCCGAGCAGGAATTTTGTTGTTTAAGGCATTTATCTCCATGTGGTATGCAATCTATCCATTCTAGTATCAGGTCACCCATTAGTATCTAATGTCTTCTTACTTCATAAAGTAATAAATAAACCAATGTTTCTTATACAAAACTGACACAGAATTTTTTTGGGTTAGTTGAAAGTGTACATTCCTCAGTTGCAGCTAGCTTGCTACTTAAGGTTAGTTCTGTGCGTTACATATGCATTTGATGGCTACATCATAGCACAATGACAGCCTAAAGCTATATGAAACTTAGAATTCTTCTGAAAGTGAGGGAGTTGTTATAAGTCTTCACAGAGATACCTTACAGTATTGTTTCCTGATGTATTGAGTCCCTCAGCTGGAAAGTTACAGATGCTTTAAAAGAGATTTAAAGTTTATTGATATTTCTTGTACTTCTTATAATCAGAAAGTCTCTAAGGGAGGTGGTGGCATTATCAGACCTCCATCACACCAACATTGTTCGATACTACACCTGTTGGATTCAGGATTTAGAATACCAAATGGACAGTACAGGCGACACCTACAGTACTTCGCAGTAAGTCACATTACTTCATTATTAATATTATTATGTCTTAACATTGCATCACATGTGGTGTAAATGACAGAGGAAGCATTCACTTCACACTTTAGTTTCTTGTCTGTTACCTTGATGTACATTTTTGAAGACTGGACACATGTTTTCTCTTTGTGGCTAAAATTATACTAAAATTAATCAATATTACAGTTTATTATAGCAACACACATTGCGCCACAGTTTTCTGTCTTCTTGATTTTTACAGTAGTTTACAGAGTGTTGCCTCACCATTGAGGATAAAGTAAAGGTTCATAATTCCTTCATTTGTGTTTTTTTTATTTTCAAGGTCTGCTAGTGATTCATCTGAAAAGTGCCTCTATATTCAGATGGAGCTGTGTGATACTAAAACACTTAGAGTGTGGATAGACGAGAAGAATACTCAGAATGTGAAGAAATCTCTGCGAGACTCAAGGAGAAAGGAAGAGAGCCTAATCATTGCTCAGCAAATAGCCAGTGGAGTCGAGTACATTCACTCAAAGATGCTCATCCACAGAGACCTGAAGGTGAGACAAAGAGGAGAAGACGGTTGTTTGTTGCTGCACATCTCATAAAGAGGTAGACGTTTATTTGTGCCTTTTCTTAAAATGTATAGCCTGCCAACATCATGTTTGGACGGGATGGAGAAGTGAAGATTGGAGACTTTGGCCTGGTCACTGCTGAGATTGACAATGATGCTGAGAATCTACTGGAAAGAAGTGCTTACAAAGGAACACCATCTTATATGGCTCCCGAGCAGGTTGAATAATCTAAATTGAAATTTAGTGTCTTACCCATTAATAAATATTAGGTAGTAAGAGAAGACATTAAAGACACTTTTTTTAAAGGTTGTCAACACCATAGGGCAATGCACCTTCTTTCTTGTACTACTAAAAAACTATTTTACTACTGTTGCAAGTAAATAGGAAAACCATTTAAATCAACTGCCTTAAAACCAAAGAAGCATTGGGTTGACTATTAAACTAGTTTCTAATGCCCAATGTCCTTAAGGGTTAGTCCACCCATATTGAAAAGAGATAGTAAAAACCTTTTTTTGTCTTCTATTATTTACTCACAAAATTGGCCGTTTTTTGTTTTTCTCTTTTTAATGACAGAAAAGCAAGAGCCATTACGACCGAAAAGTAGACATATTTGCTTTGGGGTTGATATATTTTGAACTTCTTTGGAATCTCCCTGTTGGCCCTGAAAGAAAAGCGGTGAGTTTTTCCAAAGCTTATGCAAAATGTTGCTGCAAACTTGCTCTGTTAATAATGGTTTTCTCAGTTTGTGTCATAGGAAGCAGAATGTTGATATAAATCAAATTTAATGTGTACTATTTTTTTATTTAATATTGTTTAATAAATGAACAGATCATCATTTTTATCCCTTCTCTCATTATATAAATGCCAGGTTTGGGACAATGCCCGAAGCCAGAAACTTCCTCAAGGGTTTTTGAATAATTTTCCACAAGAGGTACATCACCATTATTTTAAGTTTACTATATAAACATTTTCAGCAATCATCTATTTCCATCAAAGGATGAAGAGCCACAACTGTTGATCGTTAATAGCAAAAATGACCAAGCAGGACTGTCTTAGAACCTGAAAGTTTTCTTTGTTTAATTTCCCAAGTAAAGTATAAATGTGGCAAATAATATATACTGGACTTTCACAATAAATGACAACATTGATTGATATTGATATTGATTTCACACTGTTTTCTTCTTATGTCTAATTGCAGCATCAAATCATAAAGGCAATGCTGTGTGCGAAGCCAGAAAACCGTCCGGAAGCAAGTAAACTAAAGGAGGAGCTGAAAGAGTACTCTGATGCACTTTTAATGCAAAAACAAATGCTTCGAAATAGTAACACAGTTTGACAGTTATAAGGACTTTAATGAACAGTCTAAAAAAGAACACTCAGTTTAGTCATTTCATGCATGACTGTATTCAATACACATCATGTCATGCAGTGCATGTGTGGATGTTTTGAATGCTTTCTTTTCATGGTCTGATGCATCATCAGATATAGTTGTATTTATGGAGTGCTTGGTTTAAAGAAAGGCTGATGAAGTGATTCATGTTATAATATATGAATGAAATACAAATTAAATTTGTGTCATTATTCACTTGTTGTCTACACTTATATAAATTATTTGTTTTATCCTGTAATATTTTGTAATAAAAGTGATGTCATACTTGTATAGTTTTGTAAATAATAATAATAATAACAATAATAACAATAACAATAATAACAATAATAATTAAAAACGAAAAAAAAAGAACTCCAGATGAATGACTGCAATGTGAAATAGTGCAATAAAAAACGTTACAAGGTGACTTGGGTTCATCCTTTCAGCTGTGTGGAGGGAGTAGCATGCTGGTTATGGTAGTTTCCATACAGTTGGGCCACTTTCTGTTACAGTAAGTGGTTTAAGGTGTCATGTGAGTAATTTCATCCATTGAAAGATTAAATATACTGGTAAGTGAATAAATCCTTCTCTCAGATTTTTACTGTGAAGTCACTGCGTACAATAGATTTGCCATGGAGTACTGCAAAACTGAATTTTGAGTCTTCCCATGATGGGTATTTCTTCTTTACTCACTTTCTTTTCACTCTCTGTTTATACTCCACTCTGCATTCAGCCATTGGTTATTTATTTATTTATTTTTTATCTCTGGCTCTCTTCCATAGCCTGTCTTTTATCCTATCATATACATAAAATTTTGTTTAATTTTCTGGATCAAGAAACTTTCTTAAAACTTTTTTTCCAATATAGAGAAAGCAGCTGTGAGTGAATCGGTGACTCGCGATCTTCTAACATGCCAGCTTATACCTGTAATGACAAGACATTTCTAATGTTTAATTGCCATTTTTCATGCGTCATTCCTATTGTGCCATAGTTTTCTCCTTTCCCAAATGGATATGAACATGGGCGGGCCAAAATAAATAGACGAGTGGGAATGGACAATGCGTAGATTATAGTTATGTTATTGCAATTATTTTTTTTTATTCGATTTTTCTTTAATACTAAGTTTTAATGCCTGCCAAGGTGTGGACACTGGGACATGACGTTTCCACTGACGAATCGAAACTTAAAGGCGGCTGAATCCGCTAACGCGGTTGCGGAAACGTGGAGGCAGTTTTTTTAAAAAGAGATAAAGAGATACTATTGTACTTTGTGACTTGTCACAATTATTCGCAATTCTGAACTCTGATTACAACTCCTTCGTCATTTTGGGGGGAAGTGGGACACCATGTAGTTCTATAGGGAATGAGCTACACAGGCTCGGAGGTGAACTCGAGTAACTTGGCTCTACAGGCCACGATCACGGTAAGTTTTATAAAATATTTAAGTGTGTCTATGCAATAGCACACTTCTTATCAATCGTCGGCTTTATTATTTTATGTAATATTTTTGGCTCGTGCAATTGGCGCTACACTCCGTTACTCCCTGTTCTGTCACCATTCTTTCATTTCTTCTGCTGACAAAGACGTATATATAGTGATGTAATTTGAACATCTAACTAGTAAATGAATAACAAGTCATTTGGTCTATTGACTATTACTCTGACTGCTAATTACTGTTTTCCGCGACAGTGAAAAAAGGTTTAAAGTCACTTTCTTCACAAACCAGTTGCACAAAATAATATTATTCAAGTGAACGCAACAGTGACCAATTAGAGCATCTAAGGTTATATTTCAGGAATAACTAACATGGCTGGAATGACCTGCTTCCCATTTTGACCGTGTGCATTACATTCTTGTGCATTACATTACAGTAGTTGATACGTCAACTGACTGGTACTGAATATAGATATGTATTTTTATGTAGTTAAGAACTTCATTACGTGCAAGTATAATCAAATCAAAGCTTTGATCATTTGTCATCAGATTTACCACCACTAAACAGCCTGAAGGAAGTGAGCCAAACAGACCACAACAGGAAATACTCTGCAGTAATGGATAAAGAGCAACAAGCTCCAGTTGATTCTGTAAGATCATGATGCAGTCTTTGCTGAACTAAAGTATACTAGGTTGCTTATTATGTTCAAAATGAAAGTGTAGTTTACAGCTGCAAGTCTAACTGCTTTTTATTGATGTCTTTGTTTTAGATGGAAACAGAAGATGAAAATCCAACTGCTCCACTTATTCAAGCAAATATTTCTGACTATATAAGCTGGATAAATGAATATGGTCAGAAGAATAAGATCATCATAAAGCCTAAGGAGTCAATAAATATACACAAAAGTGGTTTTCCGTAAGCCTCCATACATCGTAGAAAATATTTTTTTTTAAATATATTTTTGTTTTTAAAAATATAAAAATTAATGCATAATGTTGTATGATGTTACAGAAGATGCTGTAGCTTTGTGGTTGATGGGAAGGAGTACCCAACTGCCTATGGGAAAAATAAAAAGGAAGCTAAGGAGGAAGCAGCCAAGCTAGTATATCAGAGCTTGGGTGTAACATATAAAGATCACAAACCGACAAATTTCGTTGGACTTGTTCACAACTACTGTAAGAAGACAGGGCGAATCATTGATATTATTGAAGTGAGAAGATGTGGCCCACAACATAACCCTGAGTGAGTATAAGTGAATCTTTGGAGGGTGAATAGAAGCTGCAATAACACTTAGTTGGGTAATAAAGTCTAAAGTAACATATCTTTCCTGGTTACATAGGTTTTTCTACAAATGTGTCATCAACAAGAAGGATTACCCTCAGGCTGTAGGTGGCACTAGCAAGGAAGCCAAACAAAAGGCAGCTCAGTTGGCCTGGTCTGCTCTTCAGGAACAGTCTGACTGGGACAGCAAGGTATTTAAATGCTTTCAGCATGTTATTGTCACTTAGGTAAGAAAAAAAATTATATTCATATTCATTACACAACATGTGCAATGTTCTGCTAAAATGTCACTTTAGCAGAACATTGCACAGTTTCATAAAGCTTGCACTCAGCACTTTTCTAAGTTTGATAACTAATGTTGAATGTCACATATTGTGCTTATTTTAAGGTATCCTACAGGTCAACCATGTCTGAAGACAGTGTTTCAACAATGCTGCCATCCCCAGCATCCACAGTGTAAGCAAGTATTAACATTAATGGTAGAGTATGTGGTAAAGTTTAACATGTATAAAACTACACAAATGGCTCTCTTTTTAATTTTAAGGGAGGTCTTGTCAGAAGTCACAACAAGGAGTGAAAGTGAATCAGTATCAATCACTGACCTATCGAACTTGTTGGAGACTAAGGTCAGGTTTTTTTTATGTTGCTTTTAAAATGATAAAAGAATTCATAGAACTTGAAGTTGACTTTTTTAGACTAAAACATATCGGTGTATCTGTGGTGTCCCTCTTCTGGAATTTAAACCCATAATCTGACAGTAACGCTAAACAGGAGAAAAATGTTATAAAAGCATAAAATACTAGGATTGCTTTTTTTCTCATTGGTGAGGTGAGTGCTTCCAAAGGCTAACATATTTACAAATCAAAACAATTTCATTGGAAAATTGTTTTTGTTTTTATAGATGTCCCTCATGTCAACTTCGTCTGTAGACACTCCACCAACCAGGCTGTCAACACCTTCACTGTAAGAAACTCTAATACTAGTAGTAATACAACTACTAAGTCAGACAGTTGTGTATTAGGAAAGCAGCACTCATGTACTCTTGTTGTATTCTCCAAGGGAGTCTCTCGAAGCGTCTTCAAAAAGCATGCCAACAAGTACGAGTGACTCCGTTATCTTCACTGATTCATCACACCCTTCCATGGAAAAGGTCTGTTGCTTTAAACACAGAATTTGTTGAAAGAAAGAAATCCCCACTTTATAATCTGTATACTATGCACTGTATATTATATGGCATATGGTGAATATGGGGTGGACGGTGGAGGGCTTGACTATGGGATAAATGGTCAACTGCTGGTCTTTAGATCATGCACAGTTGTAGTTAGAGGTTTGTTTGCATTCTTATGAATAAGTTGGACTTATTTCTAGTGGCTGCTGGGCACTTTCACGTCTCTCACCAGTTCTATTCATAACTTTCATAGAAAGATGTTCTAGGCACAGTTAAGAGTCATAGCATGTCAGCCTTCGTGGCATTATGGGAAGCTGTTTTTGTGTCAGAATTTTTTGCAAATTTGTTTAGTGTTTAGTTCTAGTTCAGTCATTACATTTGTACTAAAAATCATAAATGTGTATGGCAATCTATAAATGTCATTAATAAATAAGCAAATCTGTGTTCAGATCTCTAAACCTACTGGTATTTGTAAATGGATTGTAAAATATGAATTGAATTTGGCTTCAATAGCTTAAAATATGGACATCAGTTGTGACTCAAGCGCTTTGGCTGTTTACACAGAATATTTGCTACCCCTGGGTAGCAGATGGCTGGTAGAGAAGCTGTTAATGCGATATATTAATGCGACAGTAATGCAACATCTGAAAGTCAGTCTCTGCAAGCCCAAGTTCAGGGTTAACAAAGAAGTTAGAAGAAAATCCAAATGTATTTCCAAAGCGCCACAAACATTTACAGCTCTGCCACATCACAGTGTAGTTAAACAGAAAAAGACGGGTAACACAGCATGTATTTTCCTTTTTTCTTTTCTTTGATATGTTTAGCTAAGCCCAAACCGCCAATAAAAGTAATTGTATTTATTAATTAATATGTTCAGACATCAGACATTTTTTTTATACTAATGATAATAATAACCATGTTATGTCCTTCTGTGTTTTTTTTCAGGACGCTAACAAAAACAAAAATACAGACAACAGACCAAGTGACACATCTGGCCAATCACAGTATGAAAAAAAATTTCATGACGTTTATACTTGTGTGGTCAGATTTTTGCATCCTCTTTTTTTCCAATAATTTACTTATTTTTTCACATCTTCATCTAATGAATGTTGTTTATCTCACTAGGTTTACTTTAGACTTTGATTGCATTGAATGTCTTGCTAAAGGAGGCTATGGTCATGTTTTCAAAGCAAGAGATAAACTGGTGAAGAAGTATTATGCTGTAAAGATTGTTCGCCACAAAGAGTAAGTCATATGCACAGTGTATATTTTCAAAGTACAAATGTTTTGCATAAGCAACATTCTAATAACAGAAACCGTGAGTATGTATGTATGTATGTATGTCTTGCTTACTGAAGCATTTCTGTGTTTTCCTTCTGATCAGAAAAGCTCTAAGAGAGGTTGGGGCATTATCAGACCTCAACCACTCTAACATTGTTAGATACTACAAGTGTTGGCTGGAGGATTCAGAATACCAGTGGGACAATACAACTGACAGTTACAGTACTTCCCAGTAAGTTTTGTTCAGTTATTTAGTATTGTGCAGTTTTGCATTTCTATGCTTAAAATGAAGACTTGATGCTAATTAGATTTTTAATCTTCCCTTTTTTTTAGGTCTAGTAGTAATTCATCACAAAAGTACCTCTATATTATGATGGAGTTATGTGACGACAAAACACTTAAAGACTGGATAACTGAGAAGAATGAGAAAACTCTTGAAGAGTCTATAAGAAGAGCAGAAAGTCTTCCCGTTATGCAGCAAATAGTCAGTGGAGTCGAGTGCATTCACTCCCACAGACTCATCCACAGGGACCTCAAGGTGAGACTCAAGATTACAGGATCACAAGCTTATGTTGCTGAGCTAGCTCACATTTAAGTTTAAGTTTTTCCATTTCCATATTCTTTAGTATCCTTTTTGTGTGTTTAATGGAGATGCACACTGCTGCTATTAAAGTATTGGTGTGCTTCTTCTACTTCACAGTAAACCCAGTAGACAGGAAATGACTGAGTATTAGGGCCACATTAAGAAAAACATTATTAGTGTTGATTTAGGGATTAAAGTCAACATTACAAGGTGGTGATAAGTATAAGAAGGTTGAAGAGATGGCGCAGCCTCTTAGTAGATGCACATATGGTGTAAATTTGAAAGATTTCTCGTAGAATCACCTGAGCTTATTCACTCATTTCTGACTACACGAGGCACTAAATGCTCAATGTTTAAATTTTGCTTTTCCAATCGTCAGCCTACCAACATCATGTTTGGAAAAGATGGAAAAGTGAAGATTGGAGATTTTGGTCTAGTTGCTACTGAGACTGATGATAATGATGAAAATCAGAGTGAGAGAACAGAGAAAACAGGAACCAAGTCATATATGGCTCCCGAACAGGTGAGGTCTCTGTAAACAAATAACCTTTGATTTCTTTTCTGTGTTTTTTTTTATTGTTGACAGTATTCAATGATAGCTATGTGCTCAACATTTTCTGAATCTATTCAAGTTTCATTACCTTCTGCAAATGTTCTTAAAAATGACAGAATCTCCTGTTCTTTGTGTTTTTTTTAAAGATGTTTACAAATTGAAAAGTTTTTTTCTTTCCATTATCACCACCTCATTCATTCGCTGTAAAACTCTTATTTCATTCCAGATAAAACCATCTCTTATGATACATGCTAAGATATCTTTTTTTAAGTGATTGCAGCCAGATGGGGTTTTTTTCTGGTTTCTACTTTTAATTTTAGACTTATATACCATGGTCTTAAAATTTAACTACAACTTGAAAAAAGTGAAATCCACATAGATTAGCTTACCACAACCATATCTTATAATTTAAACACTCACACTGAGTTAAGGGGTGTGTAACACATTATGTTTTTGTTTTATGACAGAGGACCAAAACAAGATATGGCTCCAAAGTGGACATATTTGCTCTGGGACTGATATATTTTGAACTCCTTTGGAAAATCTCTTCTGGGCATGAAAGAGGGAAGGTGAGTTGGTATAACAATTTAATAGTTTACATTTTAAAATGTTTACTGGTAGCTTCCTATCAGTGTTAATGTGTGAAGAATATAATGTATAGAATTGCATACTTAAATTTTGCTTTTGTTTTTCTTGTGATGATTTTCTGTCAAGCCAAATAACATGTTTTTGTATCCTTTTATCATTATGTATACTAGATTTTTACAGATGTCAGAAAGCAAATTCTCCCTGAAGAATTTACACTGAAGTTTCCAGAAGAGGTATAATTCTTATTTTTTTCACTTTCACATTTATAAACCACTTTAAAACAACATAACAGCTGACCAAAGTGCTGTACAAAAAAAAAAAAAGATAAAATAGGAAAACAAGAATAAAAGAATAAATCGGCGAGCCTGCCTGACCTCCAGAGGCAGCTCATTCCACATTTTAGGTTCCAAAACTGAAAAGGCTTTGTCTCGAGATTTAGAAAATGTCTTCGGGACAGTCAAAAGCACCTGTTTAGCTGATCTAAGAGCATGTGATGGCATGTAAGGGTGAAGCAGCTCAGACAAATAAAAAGGGGGAAAGACCATTAAGAGACTTAAAGACAAATCAAGGAATTTTAAAATGGATTTAAAACTTAACAGGAAGCCAATGAGGGACTCTAAAACTGGAGCCATGTGTTCTTGTTTGCTTGTACCAGTTAAAAATCGTGCAGCACGAATTGGCTAATTATTTGTACTGATAATATATATTCATGTTGATACAGAAAGTAGCTGATTTTTTTTTAATGTGTTTTGCAGAACCAGATAATCATGTCAATGCTGTGTCCGAGCCCAGAAAACCGACCTGAAGCAAGTACACTGAAGGCAGACCTGGAACAGTGGGCTCAAACATTAAATGCACAAAGAATGCACCTAGAAAATGTAACTGATTGATCAGCACTTACTAAGTGACATAAATACATCTTTTGTTGTGTTTTTTTTTTTCATGTCATGTCTTTTTTCATGTTTCAATGTCTTTGATGTACTGTTTTTTTATGGCTATAGCAGTTATGTTCAGTCACTTTTTACAGAAAGTAGGAATCATGTTCTGTGGAAATGTGATTAACATATTTAAACTGATGAATTATTACAGCCTTTGCTTTGTAATAAATAGACCGATGTGGAAAATAAAATAACGACCAACCAGGGTGTAATGGTCATTTGTCTGCTGTACAGTTTTTGTACATGTTTTACTGCATAATTTAGTGAGTGGGTCTTGACAGGTACTGATAATTTGCTTACACTTTACATTAAACATAAGTGCGTATGGGATTTTTTTATTACCACATGCAAAATGTGCACTCAGTTTGGGAAAAATCCCATTTTATGCAACAAGTTCTTGTCAACATTACAAGCTGGAAGACTATTTTCTTTGCAGTGCACTTTTGTTCCTTTTTATTGCTTCCCACAAACTAAAATTAGATATACCTTTCAGCATTACCAACACGGCCCACGAAGACTTATTGAAGAAAGAAAAAAGCTTGGAGAGGGTCCTTTAAAAAAATGCAGAGGCTTTCTCTGCACACCGCAGGACAGCTGAATGTGCTGCGCATTTCCGTACACAGAACGTCGCTAATGTGCGACAAGTTGGAGTTGGTTTCGACTGCTCTGTTACCACGTAGGGGAGGACGAAGAAACCGAAACTTACTGATGCCTAAAGTCAGCTGAATCGAAACAAACAATGGACATACTTGACCGCAGTCGGAGAAGGAAGATGGAAGTGGGGACGGGAGCAGCACTGTGAGCTTTGTGTGCTCTCACCGGGATTTTATTACATTTGCCGAGTCATTAATGATGGCAACAAAAAACTACGTAGCTGAACTAAACGAGTATGCGCAGAGAAATCGCTTGAAGCTGAAGTATGAGTACCTTGGCTCTGACGGCCCAGACCATAATAAAGTGTGAGTACATTTGTAGTACCTGAGAGCTTTGAGCATTATAATATATCGACGATAATAGAAGTATTGGGTGAGGTGAGTGTTTGATAGCACGGTAAGTCAAAGCTAATCAGTACAGTTTAAGAAGAGGACTTATGTATCTTATCGGAAAAATGCACAAGTAATGATGGTGACATCAAATACAGACTGGTGTAGTCGTAAGCCTTTATTACCTTGCAGTTATATTTTAAATTAATTTTAATCTGTCTTTCAATTACAGGAAATAATAGCTGTTAGGCCCAAAGGCTCTATAATGGCGCTATGCTTTGCCAAATCTTTATTTCTAACTAGTTGAATAGTCATGTTATTATAAAGAGCCCAGCAAAGCACTGGAAACCCGTTTTAAAACTGCACCTGCTTGTCTGTTGCTGTATATATAGGATGTCTTACTATATATATATTGCATATACACGCAATTTACATCTCAAGTTTCATCATAAAGAAATATTGCCTCCCAGAGGTTAAAAGTGGAAGGAGAAAATTCAAGTTATTTCTTGCAACCTAACCCTAACAGGTCATTTCCTCTACAGATTTAGCCAGAAGGCGATCATAGATGGTAAAGACTACCCCAAAGGTGTGGGGAAGACCAAAAAAGATGCAAAGCTTAAAGCAGCTGAAAATGCTCTGAGGTGCCTGCTGGATGGTAAATGTCAGGACTTGGTAAGTTTATTTAACTTTAGCATGTTGGAGAAAAATAAGTGGTGCATGTGCCCATGGTGTTTGTTTGTTTTTTAACCTTAACAGACAGAAAATGCAGCAGAAGCTTCTACACCAGCTGAGACAGATATCAACTTCATATGCTGGCTCAATGAATATGGCCAGAGAAACAGGTTGACTATAAAGCCTATGGAGACAACAAGGCCTGGACCAAATAATGCTATCCCGTAAGCCTCCTGACTGTTTCTCAATTATAGCTATTCTGTGCTCATGTAAAATAGATTAAATAAATGTTATTTTATGGCATTAGGTGGTGTAGCTTCATGGTTGGTGATAAGGAGTACCCAGCAGTCTCTGGGAAAACGGCAAGAGAAGCTAAGGAGGAAGCAGCCAAGCTCGTATACGACATAATAAATGGCAACAAAACTACAGATGTAAGTTATAGTTCAGTCCATGCCATTCTAGCTTGATCATAATCCTAAAACATAAACATTTTAATATAACCACATTAAAATTGTACTTTTTATATTTTTCAAGACTGCAGATGAGAATCACAGCGATGGATCAGGTCAACAAAGTGAGGACTTGAGTGAGAATGTTTTTGATCTGTGGTGAGTAATTAACAATGGTGATGTATTGTTTAATCGTGGCATCTGCATCATAGTAAAGTTTCTTACTGCTTGTTGTTTACAGTACTACAACAAAAAACCTGACCGTGAACTCTAAAGACCCCAGCTTAGTGGAGACAAATTACATAGGACTTATCAATGACTACTGTCAGCGAGAAAACTGCTCCTATACATTTGTTGATGAGAAAATATGTGGCACACCTGATAAACGTCAGTGAGTATGCCCGACGTACTGGACTCTGAATACACACTGCAGACACTGGATGCTCATGACTGATGTTCAGCAAACTGTTAATGTACTGTTCAACTTCTTTGCATCTCAGATTTTTCTACAAATTACGGATTAACAACAAGCAATATCCTGTGGGGAAGGGGAAGAGTATCAAAGAAGCCAAACAAAGTGCGGCGCGACAGGCCTGGTTTGTTGTTCAGGAGCAGTCAAGCAAGGTGCTTATATTTTTATCTTTACTTTGTCTCATCAGATATAGTTGATTAAAGGTTCCAACAGACAATCTGTTCTTTACAAGTAATTAAAAGGACCAGCTTGGAGGGATAAACTTACTGATATTACTAGATGTGGTTGTATGCCCTAGTTCTTAAAGAGTATACAGCTGATCAGAGCAAATTTTATCCTTTTAATCGATGTATGCTTTTTATTCTTTAAGGAGGATGCCAAAGACAAGAACGTGGGAAATGGCCAGAATGAGATGCCAACTGTATCACGGTATTTTAAATAAGGAAAAAGAAATAGTACTAAGAAACTGCTATTCTGATTTAACTCATGTTTTTGTTGTATTATGTCCTGAGAGAAAGGTTTAAATCCATCCATCCATCGGCTTCCGCATATCCTTTTCAGGGTCGCGGGGGGCGCTGGAGCCTATCCCAGCTGTAATAGGGCAAGAGGCAGGGTACACCCTGGACAGGTCGCCAGTCTGTCGCAGGGCCAACACACAGGGACAGACAACCATTCGCACTCACATTCATTCGCACATTCACACCTAGTGACAATTTGGATTATCCAATTAACCTATCCCCACAAGCTGGTTTAGACTATGGTCTTAAATCTCCCTCGCTGCTCCATGATAGACAGAATCAAGCATTCTGAGCATTCTATATACTGTAAATCAAATCCCCATAATCAAGTACAAACATAAAGGTGAAAACAACAAGTCTATTTCTTGCCTCAAAAGATTAATAGGACTTTCAGATACTTACTCAGTCTGTACAGTTCTTGCTGTAGTGATATTATAACCCAGATTGTTTATATATAAAATTAATAACAGTAGCACTTTAACCTTCCATCAGTTCTTTTGTTACATTAAGGGAGGTAGCAAGTGATTTATTCTATCCTTACACACTGATAGTTGCAAGATAAATAACTTTGAAACCATTCAGTTTTTTCTAACAACACTGCACTGACAAGTCTTTACTTTAAAATTTCATAATAAATGGTGTCAAATACCTCATTTAGATCAATAAAAATAGCTTCACAATGTTGCCTGTTATGTACCAAAAAAGAAAAGTTTCAAATTATCTGGACCTCTTGATTTCCTAGAACCTAAAACTTTGAGGGTTTTGTGGACATCAGATGCTCGTTAAAGGAACCAAACATGTCAGCCTTGCCAGAAATGTGATTTTAGTCTTTGTCTATATGTGGGTGAGGTCTAGACCAGTCCTTCAAATTTTAAAAGGGTTATTGATATTATTTTAAATCTCCATTAGACAATGATCTGCTTTGGCTTTTATTTTGTTTTTCAAGTTAACAGATCATGCAGGGAAATTAATTAAATTCAAGTCAGTGCCGTTTAAAAAAATCCAGTTGATTTTTTTTCAATGCATTTGTTTTAAAACCACCAAAACAAAGGAAAAGAAGAAAATGAAAGTCTAATCTTAACTTGAATCCATAACAAAGGCCATTCGAGATAACCACTCATTCAAACCAGTTTGTAACTTGTTTTATTCATACAAAACTTTATGAATCTACAAAGAAAGATACATTTGAAGAAAAGGGAAAAAACATACCAGCAAATAGCTAGTGGCGTTGCTCTCAGTAAGAATAAATATTATGTATATAATTAGTACCTCATCAAAAGAACAAATAGAAGAAGAAAAACAGAGCTCAGCTGATACCTGTAAATCTTAGCCTAATCACAGATGTTATCAGTATCTGCAGTTTTTCAAAAAACAAATTGGCCAATGAGAGTATCAGTTGGGCTCCAACATATTTGTTGTGAACATCTGCTTAGAAAAACTCTTGCGAGGTTATCAGTACCTCTCCCTGCCTTTTGTCCATTTTAATTTGCAATTCATTGACTGGGGTTCATTTGCAACTCACAGCAAACTTATAATTAAATACACTTTACATAGTGATAAAAAACAAACTAATAAATCATTCCTATGACTGACTATTTATTTTAAGAACTCTTAAACCTAGCTGAAAGGTAAATATAAGGAATAGATTACCATCACAAAGACTGATCAGGAATCAGAATCAGTAATCAGAAGGGTTTTATTGCCAAATGTTGAGCAGGTTTACAACATTAGGAAATTGCTGCGGTTGTCATGGCTCGGCTGTGTGGCAGGCAGGATGAGGACCCAATCGCAAAACTCACAGACTCAGGGGATGAACTCAAAAAGCAGCTTTATTGCTGACAAAAAGATAATAGGAGATACAAAACTAAACTGGGAAAAACTAACATAAAGCTCACCAGGAAACACAGGGGGAATCACACACAGCATGAGGGAGAACGCGACACAGAACTGAGGGAGACGCAGACATAAATACACAGAGGATTAACGAGGGAAGTGGGAGCACACGGGGAACACAGGTGACACTGATAATCATAACAAGACACGGCAGGAGTGAACGCAACACTAACGGGAGACGGGCAAAGTAAAACAGGAAGTACAGAGGTTCAAACAGGAGGAGAGAGAGCA